TTTACTGAAGAGTTAAGTCATAAGATCAGAGAAAGAAATGTCGCATGGGGAAAAGCTCAAGCTACAAATTGTACTGCTGACTGGACTGCTTTCAGAACTTTAAGAAATAAACGCACAAGCATGACCAGAAAAGCTAAATCAGATTACTATCTAAAAAATGTGTCTGAAAACCTCAATAACCCCGCTAAATTCTGGAAACAAATTAAGTCTCTGTCTAATTCCAATTCTTCGTCTGCAGGTCTCCCACAACATATTTTTGTAGATTCAGTTGAAATTAAAAACAAAATTGACATAATTGGTCATTTTAACAATCCCTTTGGATCAGCTGGCTGTATCTTCAATGAGTCCAAATCTAGTTATCAGTGCTCAAACTCCAACTCTGAAACACCATCGAAAACCTTTGTTTTTAGACCAATTTCTAAAAAGGATGTCTGTATTGCTCTTAAAGCCATTGACCCCAAAAAAAAATCAGCAGGACCAGATAACCTAGAACCTTTCTTATTAAAAGTTGCAGCTGAATTTATAGCTAAGCCTATAGCATACATTTTTAATTGTAGTCTGCAGACCAATTCAATTCCTAAAATATGGAAAGCAGCCTATGTGCTTCCTTTGTTATAGGGTGGCGACCCTTTAGATCTTCACAATTATAGGCCAATTTCCAAACTCTCTATTCTTGCAAAAATTTTGGAAGCTCAAGTAAACTGTCAATTAAAAGACTACTTGGCAGAGCACAACATTCTAACTGATGTACAGTCAGGTTTTAGAGGTGGACACAGCACTGTTACAGCAATTTTGCTACTATTAAATGACATTATAAATGCCTTGGACCAGAAGCAACACTGCGCTGCTTTTTTTGTGGTTCTGTCCAAAGCATTTGACTCTGTTGATCATAAGCTATTACTAGATAGATTAATTAACATTAGCATAGGAAACACAGCTATTACTTTGTTCAAAAACTATCTTACAGAGCGAACGCAATGTGTTTTTTTTTCTATATTCATAAATAACATTGGAAAGGACGTGCAAACTGCTAAACTGCATCTTTATGCAGATGACACTGTGATTTATTCAGTTGCCTCTTCACTGAACCAAGCCATGCATGACCTTGAGCTGGCCTTTCAGCAGCTTCAAGTTTCTCTACATGGCCTTAAGTTAGTGCTAAAATACTAAGAAAACCAAATTTATGATGTTTTCAAGGGCTCGTTCCCAATCCCCAGATAATATAACTTTTAACACATTAAATGGAGACTTAATTGAAAATGTTTCTTCATATAAGTATTTAGGTTTTTGGCTGGACAACAAACTTTCTTTCAAAGTTCATGTTGAAAAACTTGTAAAAAAGCTGAAACTACGGCTGGGGTTTTATTTTAGAAATAAAACTTGTTTTAACATGTCAGCCAGAAAAACACTTGTGCAGGCTACTTTGTGTTTTGGACTATGGTGATGTTGTCTACATGCATGCTGCCTCTAGTACTCTCCACCTGTTAGATTCTGTGTACCATAGTGCTCTGCGCTTCTTAACTAACTCCTATTCCCGTACTCATCATTGTACGCTGTATGAACTGGTAGGCTGGCCGTCACTAAGTCTACGTAGTCAACTTCATTTGTATATTTTTCTATATAAGGCCATGTTGGGTAAACTGACCCAACATGGCATATTTATGTAATCTCCTCAAGCTAAATTCCAGCCATTTTCATCTCCGTTCCACCAGGTGGCGCTCTTACCAGGTTCCAATGGTTTTTACTGAGCTGGGGAAGAAATCCTTCTCTTACTTTGCTCCATGGTCCTGGAATAATTTGCAAAACTTGCTCCATTTAAATGATCTAGTCCCATTGAATGAATTTAAGGCCATGTTAAAATGTCATGTAATTCAAAAATGTAACTGCCCTATGTGACCTGTCTTTTCCTCTATATGAGATTTTGTCTATGTTGTATTTGTGTTTGTATTTTAACTGGTGTGCCATCTTGGCCAGGTCTCCCTCAAAAAAGAGATTTCAATCTCAAGGGACTTCCTGGTTAAATAAAGGTTAAATAAATAAAAATAGAGAATCCCACAGTCATCAGGACAAGCAACATATAGTTTGATGAAATTTTGAAAAAAAAACGAGATCTGAAAAGTTCTTTAAAAGACAGTAAAGTATGAACTATAAATATATCACCTTTAAAGATGAGTCTTCTCTCACACTAAAAGCTGTAATCACTAAAGCATAAGGCCATTAAAAAGGCTGAATTAGAAGTAAAAACCATGGTGGCACTCACAGCGTTGGATGAGACTTGATTCCAGAAAATTAAAGTGTAAAAACATTTTAAAATGTTCTCATCTAATAGATTTTATCCTCTGTTAAAAAATATATATATATATCTTTGAAATTACTTTTATTTTTCTTGATAAGAACATGAATTGCCATTATCTCTCTTAAGATATTACAAATCCGGTCATATAGCAATCCCTGCTCTGTGGGAGGGGTTAATAGGTGGGCCTACCCTACCTATAATAAAGCGCTGGACGTATTGTGTCAAGCATCTTACTTCCAAACTATTCAGAAAAGGTGGAGAAACGGTCAGTGGATTTCCACTATGGAGCTTGCAGTGGTTTTATCTTTGATTGCACTTTCAATGAAGTTTGTCTCAGCTTCAGGTATGTCCGTTACAGAATTATAATAATTGCTGCAGATCTTTAGAATTAGACAGATTGTTTCTTTTTACCCTGGAAAACAAATTGTACAGGGTTTTGCATTATTGCAAATTATTTTGTGGAGTACAAAATGCTCATCTGTCTCGTTTTTTCAGTTATCAACTTAAAAATATTTGAAGGAATTTGGCCTTCTTAGATTCATAAATGCACTGCTCTATGGGTTAGTTATAAGTTAAATAACATTAGTAATAAGACAAAAGCATCTGTATGTACTCAATGCAAAATCTTTTTTTTTTTTTCCAGAATGGTGCTACCAGTCACAATTTAGCTGCAACAACACCTGTACAGGTAACCTTGAAACAGTCCCGTGACATCAAATGTAAACAGGGAAAAAAAATGTTGATCTATTAACCTTTTTTCTTTCTTCTCCATACAGGTCCAAATGTGTGGCAAGAGATCTTTCAAAACTGCAACGGCAGATCTCAGTCTCCAATCAACATTGTGACGAGGAAAGTGCACCGAGATGAACGCCTTACTCCGTTTCATTTTGAGGGTTACCAGGCCACATTTCATGGCCGCCTCATAAACAACGGTCACACAGGTAAGTCTTGAGTTAAAATGCCTTTATCTTGGAAAAAAGGTAAACAATTAGGAGGCCACTGAGTTGGAGGAGCAGTAAAAGTGCTGAGGGTAAAACGTTTAGCAGTAATCTATATAGGCGAGGATATAAAAAGGATCGATAATCAGCAGGAATGGAAAAGTACAAAATTGAGAGCAAACTGTTTAATTGTAATGTTAGTGTTAATTTTATAGATGATGTGTGAGTCTTTTAAACCTAATATTACTCCACTATTGCATGTTAAAAAAAAAAGTTTACCAAAGTAGTTTATCTAATCAGGACAGTTCTTTTGTCAGGATAAAAAGTAATCTTCATTATTTACTTAGCAAAGATTTGGGAATGGGATGTGAGAGGTGTCTTTGATCTAATAACAAAGTGTAATATTTTGATAAGGCTGGAAACATGGATGCTTCCTCATCCGCAAGTGAGGTAATGATTTTTATGATGAAGCATCATGGAGTTGTATAAAAGCGCGGAAACCTTTTGACTTAAGGAGCTTCCCTGATCTGAAAAAAATTACAATTTCTGTCAAAATCTGTTGCCATGGCTCCCGGTCATTTAATACACATATTATGAAGTGTTATCTAAAAAGTTTGTCCAGAGGGATCTCTTCTAAGGAAAAGAAGCGGCGAGAGAAAGCTTCAAGGTGTAAACATAGAGCTTTTCCTAATTAATGGTGGTTCCACCTGGTTTTTAAAGAGTACTTTTGAGGAGAATAACTGACTTTTTCTATTTTTCATCTTTATGATTCTTTCTCCCTTAAACATACTTAGACATGTTATTTTCATTTTCGGGTTTATCCATTCAATTTTTTTGTTTCCAAATGTAGTATTATTATACATTTTTTATTGTTCAGTGGGATTTTTGGTCTATTATTAAGATTGAATGGAGGAATGCTTGTTGCAAATTGCATTAACCGCCTTTTGTATGAACATCTAATATTTTTAAGGTTTTTATTATATTTTGCTCTAAGGTTGTATATTTTTTTATGTTTAGCAGGGAGCTTACCCAAAAGTTTTTATTTTGTTACATTTCAATTTCCTTCTCCTGAAAACCATAAAATTAGAATCTGTTTTAACTATTATTCTCTTTTTTTTTTCTCATATCAGTTCAACTGGAATTACCTTCTGGTATTAGAATCAGTGGAGGACACCTGACTGAAAAATATAAAGCCGTTCAATTCCATCTGCATTGGGGCAAAGAGGGAAAACCCGGATCAGAGCACTTGATTGACGGGGAGCAGTTTCCCATGGAGGTCATCATTGTAACATGAGCATATTTGCCTTTTTTATGACTTCTGTTTAAACACAGTAAATAGAAATACAACTATGTCTTTCATCTTACCTGTAGATGCACATTGTCCACATCAAAGAAAAATACGACTCTTTATCCCAGGCTGCGAAAGACCGCACAGGAGTTGCTGTCCTTGGATTTATGTTTCAGGTAATTTTCTTTATCTTTGTTTCATCATAATAGATAAACATCTGCAAATCATTGTAACATGAATTACCCAATATGAAAAATACCCCCAATATTTTTTTGGTGAGAAAAATAATGAAAAATGTTCCATCAAATTTTGCTCAGATTCAAAAACCATAACATTTCTCCAAGTAAATGCTGCACCACAGAAAGACGCAAAACAATTCTACACAACATTACTCTACCATAAACAAGTTAATGAGTAGCTGTGAGCTAGTTAAAGGTTAGGAGTCATCAACAAGGAAGCTTAATTTTAATGGTTTATGAACATGGAAACAAAGTCTTAAAAATTTGGCAAAAGAAGCACGCGATTAGATTTTGATGGGATTACAACATAGAAGCAGGTCTATTTCCCTCAGTTATGTAATGGGGTGGGCAGATATAAGCCACCAATAAATCGCATCACTAGAGTTTATTTTAAGACTTTAAAGAGCTTTAAGTGTAATTCTAACTTGAGCAACACCAATTTGTCATCGTCTGAATTTTTCCACATTCTCAACTTCCTCAGTTGTAAAAAAATGACAGTTTATATATAACCTTTTTCTTCATAAATTCTTAACTCATATCCTCTGCTGTATATTTCCCCTAGTTTTTCATTAAACCTTTTTTATTTGCAAAGTGGCACTTGTGTGTTTCAGGAGTCAGAGTCTAATAATGAGAAGTACTCTCCACTGGTTGATGCTCTGAAACGGATCACTGAACCCTGTAAGTTTGCTGTGATTTCAAGGAATAAGAACCTAATCACAACACATTATCTGCGGGCAGCAGTTAAATAATACCATAAGCAATTTTCTCTGATATTATATATAAATAAAAAAAGGATTTGATTTATGGGATCGTCACGTTGACCTTATCTAATAACCGATTGGTTGCTGACCTTTCTGTATCTTTTGAACTCCAGCCAGCAACACCACGCTAACAGGCGTCTCCCTGGAAATGTTCATTCCGCCTCAGAAGAGCTTGACGAAATACTTCCGATACGACGGCTCTCTTACAACTCCTGACTGCGCTGAAGCTGTTGTCTGGACGCTGTTTGAAAGCACCATTCCTATGAGCAGGAATCAGGTGATGCAGGCCTTTTTGTTATCAGTAATGGTTAAAGACTGCTTGTGATGACTGGTGTTATTCTGATTGTTTTTTATTTTTTTCCCCAAAGGTTTATTCTGACACTTCCACTGATCATTTAACCTCTTATATCAATCATTTGTACAGAGCTAATATTTACACTCTTCTTATATTTTCCTTTACTGCAGCTCTCTGCATTCTATCAGCTCCGGTTTCCTGATGGCAAGCATATGGTTCAGATCTACAGGCCAGTGCAACCTTTGAATGGAAGGGTGGTGTATTACTCCAACGGATACATCTCTGTGGCCAGTTGGGTGCTGCTGACCTCGTCAGTGCTGTTTTCCAGCGCTGTCCTCTAACACTGATGATTTAAAGCGTCAGAAAAATTTTTTAGATAAAAAAATTCAGCTTTGATATCCACCCAATAACTATATTAAGGCTTTCGGCTTTTTACTCTCTACCTTTTGTCATTTATTTTATTAAAAGGTTTACTGACATTTTTAATCATGGTTGTGAAGTTACATCGCTTTTTTTATGTTTTAGATCTCTGAGATATTTAATTCAAAGCTGCCTTTGCTCCTTGCCCTCAATTTATTTTGTCTATTTCTTAAAGTTACTCTTTAGGTATTTTCCATGTTTTTCATCTGGTTATATCTATATGTAATAATAATAAAAAAAGATACAAATAAATAAAATATATAAAATAAGCGCTTGGGTCAAAGCTTTGTGGATTTCCATCATCAAATGCTTCCCCTCCCTAAACAGGGACTTGATTTACTGAATTCAAAAATAAAACCATTTGAGTTTTATTCCTCAAACTCAAACTGCAACCTTTTTCACTTAAGCAATAATCACCCTCACATAAATTTGTGCATTTTTTTTGTTCATATGTTTGTTTTGTATATAATGCTACCTTTTTCATAATGGATTTTTTCAGCAATAGTTTTAAAATCATAAAGGTGGAAGCTCAGTACAAGACCCAATACTAGCGTTGTACCGATATGATACCAGTATCGGCAGGGCCCCAATACGGCACTAAAATGGTGGTATCGGTATCAGCGAGTACCAACAAATACGGCACCGATACCATTTTGAGAGCCAAAAGTTTATGCAACCATTGTCACCCATTCCAGGTAAGCAATAAAAAGTTCTACTGGATTTACTTTGTTTCAGTCTTTTTCCTGCTTCACAAAGGTAGGCAGCAGCTTGACAAAGCCATGATGGCCATTATATTACATCCAAGGAGTATGCAGTTCTTCGTACACACACACTTATCAGTTTCAAACAGATGGTATCGGTATTGGCTAATACTGCACAGCCAGGTATCGTGTGTCAGGGCCCAAAAATGGCATCGGCGTAACACTACCCAATACCAAGGTGACAAACAAAAGTATTGAAGCTGCCCATTGAATGGATTATTTACAACTTTTTGGATTATTTACATATCACAAGTAGCAACTATAATCTGAATTAAACATTGATTCTTTACACCACAACATCAATTAGTCAAATATGACGATAAGTTACCTCACCACTACACCAGAAGTTACAACACAGGTTCAAGACAGACAATCTGTGGACTGGTGTCCATATACAGCCTACAATCAGTGTAAAATAGATAGCTCTACAAACAGGTTTATTTCTAACAATTTAAATCTAATTTAATCTTATAATTTTGTTGTGATTCTATAGTTAAATTCTATTCCCAGCCCGCTGGGAATTTATGTTTCTGATACTTTAAGATGTTTATTGCCCTCCCCTGTAGGGGTGGTAAAATATCTTATTTAATCAGATATTATTTCAGCTGTTATATAATGTTTATGACACACAGTCCTACTAACTGTGTGTTGGAACAATAAATGAAAGAGTGATTCGAGCACTAATCATAGTCAAACAGTCATTTCTGCACATACATGGAATAAATTCGCCACAACTTCTGTTCAAAATATAAGATTTTATTAACAAAAATCATTCAGCTCCAAGTCAAATGTATTTCAGTTTAACACTCTCAACTAAGACTAGTAAAACTCAACTAAACTAAACTAACTACTATGTACAAAGAGGAAGGGGAAAATGGTTGAAAAACATATTACAGTTTAAGATGGATTCTGTGTTTGAAACCAAAGTTTATCTGGAATAATTTGGGATATGATCAAATTAGGTTTTCACTAATTTTAAAGAAATTGGAATGTTTTCAGACCAATTCACAATGCAAATCCATGAGGTGAATAAAACATTATTTGGCCAAATAATGTTTTATTGAGTGATTTGCTTAATCAAGAACCAAAAACCTTTAGTTAAATGATTCTTTAACCTCCTTGAAATAGGTAGCAGCAAATAGACATCAGGATTCCACTAAATGACTCTTGGTCAGACTTGGTAATGGAAATGTGAAGAGCATTTGAGGAACACATGAACACTAATGTTATATCAGTGTTTAAATCCTTAGTGAATAAAGCTTGTCTAAGCTTTAGCAACGGCTCAACACATATTCCAGTAGCATAGCGTGGCATGCAGTGCATTCTTTAGCATCAATTAGCGTTGTCTTTACTCAGCAGTAAACACACTATATGATTAGCATCATCAAAAGACACATTGCTTGTTCTGTCCCTAATCATGCCAGACCTGCAAACCTTTTTCCATGTACATTTGGAAATCTTGAGTTTCATCCAGTTTTGCAGCTCTGCAGTCAGGGATTCTTTGTCTCAGTCTCACAGCAGGGGTCCCCTCAGTCTCACACCAGGGCATGCTCCTCATCCAGTTTGGCTCTGTAAGTTCTGAAACTCAAGAGAAATGTGTTGCAAAAGTTCTGTTTGCAGCAGTTTGGTTCTGAAGGGTTCGACTTATCCTCGATGGTTCTGGGGATCTGGTTCCCCTGGGGCCCGCATCTCCACTGTGGGCCACAGTGGGCCCCAGCTTTGAGCGCAGGAGCAGAAGGGACCAGGAGAGAGGTGCTGGAGCAGAAGAGCAAAAGAGGCAAAAGAGAGTGAGGCCAAAAGAGGCAGAATCCTGTGTGCTCTGTGGTTTTCTCTGTCTTCACAGGGAGGGGGGTAGGTTTTCACACCTCTGGTGGCTCCCATGTGACTTGCTTTGGCTGAAAAAGGGGGGCTGCAGAAGTCCCCCAGCTGTTATTCACCAAAGCTGCGTTTTCTTCTCTGGTCATCCTATCAGGATGAAATTTGGACACTGCTTCCCAATGTCCAAAAAGTATGATCATGGCATATGGCATAACAATTTACAAATGACAGAAATTTTATAGATGGATCAGAAACGTTGCCTTTTTAATGGAAGCTGTTACCTGCTCTCTTTAATGACAGAAATTAACTCTTGCAAATTATCCTCTGACAAAACATGACAATAAAAGAGGTGTTCGATATGCAAAACCACAATTCCCAGAAACTTCCTTAATAGCGCTTACTCAACTCCAGTGATTAGAGGTCAGGGATGGTGAGTATTTACAAACTAAATAGTAGTGGACCATAAACCCAACAATGACAGCCCAATAAATAGAGAGAGAACTGCCCTACCCATATAACCTTACCCTTCTAAAGAAAAGGTGTCTTGCAATCCAACAAGGAATTTCATTTATACCTAATTATCAGCACAAAGCAATAACATATGGTATATGTGTTAAATATCGACAGATTAAAGTACATTTTGCAAACAGCACGAACCCTAGCACCAGAGGTTACCTTGACCAACAGGGCTCAGCTGAATTTCACTGTCTGATCAGCATGCACCAAAAGATTTGTTCACTGCCTGCTAAAAACCTCATAACTTATAAACCTTATAACCTTACACCTATCAGACTCAATATGCATTTTACTTGGAGAAAGAAAACCCATAAGCTTTCTATTCGTATAAAATCCAAAAATGGCCTGTCAACTAGTGTTTGAATTCCCCTCTCCCTTCTGCTCTGACTGTTCATCTGTCCCTCCTGTGCTGCTCAGCCTATTACCACTGATTCCTATTTGCCTGCCTTGTTAAGCAGGCCTCTGACTAGTAGTGCCAGATTGCCTGAAAGCTTTGGTTATTAAGCATCCAGCATTTTTCCCCGTCTGTTCACCTGATCCTGACCTGTTTTTGCCTCCTGATTTCTGAGTCTCCCTAGCCCCTTTTTGATCTGTTTTTTGTGCCGCCTTGATCCCTGACCTGTTTCTGTGCCCTTAATTTGTTCCTGGATTCTGTTTCGGATTCTCTGAATATCTGATCACCTGGCTCTGACCTGGACCTTTGACCACGATTACCTGCCGAGCCTCAGTGAGAAATAACTGTCAAGGAACCAAAGTTTCAGGAACCAAGACACCCTGCATGAATATTAAAGAAGGTTAGTGGCTTAGCAGCCTGAACTTTTAATCATCCATCACTAACCTGTTCTCTCTCCTTCAGAGGCGCTGGTTCCCCTGATCCTGAATTACCTGCAGAGATTCTTCAATAAATCTTTAGCCGTTGTATTTTGGTTGTATCTGGGTCCTCAGTCTAAATCCCAACAAAAAAACTACAAAAAAAAAAAATTCACTCATAGGCCATAACAAAAATTGAGACACACCATGTTCATAGATGTCAAGAATATGATTTCATTGAGTTCATTCCAAAGTTAAAACTAAAACTCAACATCAGTTGCTGTGGTTTGAGCTGCTGGAAATGATGGATAGTTGTTTTCAAATATGCTCTGGATATTCTTTTTTGTTCTGAAACGACATGAAATCTGTTGAGAGTTAATTAGAGGATGAAACGCAAGGGTATCATGGAGCGATAATGATTTTTTTTAATGCAGTCTGTAAAAGACTGTGCCAAAAATTCACTTAAAGGAAAACATACAGCCAATACAACAGCAGGAGGTTTTGATCAGATGTTCAGGTGTTAGAATGGCCCAGTCAAAGTCCAGAACTCCATTTAAATCTTTGTGATAAGGGATGTGACTGAGATTACTTCTGCATGGATTGTATAAAGCTGTTAAAAATATTCCTCAGACTATCAGATGTATTCACCTAGCGGGAAT